GTCGGGGACACCATGGTGGTGAGGACCAACATGACCACGATAATGATGATGATAACCATGTTGGTGATCGTCGAGAAGAGTCGGCGGCGGAACGCTCATACCCAGTAGATGATGAGGCACCGAGACGTCGAGCCTATCACGGCAAAGGGGAGAGAAGGGGTCAGGAGGGGGAGGATCATCATCAGACTCATCATCGGGCCTACCATGGCAAGGGACGCTATGGTGGTAAGGGCAAGGGTAAAGGCCGAGATGATAGGGACCGATATGATCCTGATTATGATAGGGGGGAGTCTAGTAGGAAGAAGGGCGGCGGAACACAGAAGGTAGAATTGAGTGACCTGTTGTATTGGTACATACTCTTATTAGATCGATATGCCCCCACCACTATCCTTCGCCGGCAGTCTAGTCCTACACGAACCTATCAAGGCCGACAGTATCGATAAGATAGATGAGGAATGCTCATTATGCATGGAGAAGCTAGTAATACATCCTCTATCTGTAGTCCTCTCATTCTGATACAGATCTATGTAGCAGTTGGACATTGTGGTCATCACAGTATATGTTGGCTGTGTGCATTGCGCCTTCGATGGTTGTTGAATGACCGTTCCTGCCCTATGTGCAAGGAAGAACTCGACACTCTAGTATTGGTACACCGAGATCAATACGATCCTAGCCTTTCAATCAATGACCTTATTGCATCTAAGAAGAGGTTAGTTATCAGGGATAAGGAACAAGTCGATATCTACTATGGTGACAAAAGGATCCAGAAAATATTCCACATGATAAGACAGTAAGTCTTGTAGTATACGCAGTGAAGGTTGAGGATCGCTGTTGGTCAGGTATCGCTGTGGGTTCTGTACCAGCTGGGATGGTGATGGATCTACTGAGGCTGAGAGAGAGGATAAATGGGTAATAGCATGGTGGTTTACGGTGAAAAGTATATGAGGTCCCTCAGGCATTCCATACTCTAGGAGATCTTCGTACACATCTTCGGAAGCAACATTCCCGAGACTTCTGTACAATATGCCTCAATGAGAGAGATGTCTTCATACTAGAGCAATATCTATACACCACGTAGGGTGCCTCCCATCACAGTGGAACCAGCAGTGCATCATGTGGTTAGGCTCAACCATGGAGCTGATATCGATCGTCACTGTCGTCACGGAGATCCTGATCTAAGACCACCCGTGGACAATCATCCTTCCTGTGACTTCTGCAACCCCTCAGGGAGGAATGATCACCGTTTCTACTCGGCTGATCAGCTTAAGACCCATATGAGGAAGAATCATTTTACCTGTCATCTCTGTGAGAGCATGGGATGGCGTAATGAGTATTACAAGGATTACTTTGCATTGTAATACTACCAATGACTTGGTAGTCTCTGCTACTTTACTATCCTCCTTTAGATACGCTCATTTCTCGGCCGCCCATTACCCCTGTGAACATAATGATTGTCTAGCCAAGAGGTTTGTGGTATTCAAGACAGACGATGACCTCAAGATACATGAGGTTACCGAGCATACCAATTTCGGAGGTACTACTACTACTACGCTATCTGCCCTATAGGAGTTATGATCCTGGCATCAATCAGTGATGTCCCGAGCTGAGAAGAGGGCCAACCTACGGTTAGACCTCGGTACCAGTGGTGGGAGATCTCGCAAGCCTGGTCAGCGCGATGACAATCCCAATCCGGATACTGCTGAGAACTACAATGTACTACTATGCTTTTGCTTATCCTTCTTCCTTCTTTCGATGGTCTGTGGTTGGTAAGGTTAAATTCTGCAAGCCCCCAAGACAGTTCTACAATGGCCCCGATGAGAGCACTGCCTTGGGTCAGGAGTATGCTGCTCTCAATGCTGTGACTTCTGATGAGGAAGATGACCAGAATGAGGCATCTGATCCTAAGAGGATCAAGAAGCGATATCCCTCTCGAAAGGACGGCCATAGGTAATCATAATAGCGTGACGAGAGGCATATTACCGTTGTGACGAGGTATGACCCTAACTGGCATGGGGAGATCCCTGAACCCTCTTTGCCCAAGCCTCGGACATGCTCCATCATCGATGCGGACAACACTGCTTTACCTAATGCTGCTCCTGGTGGCATTATCTCTGATGTAAGGAGATCACCACCTTGTGGGTAACGTCGACATTCCATCTGACAGAGGCAAGAGGGACCCGCGGTAGCTGATGAGGAAGAGGAGGAAGAAGACCTTATGGAACGTGGGAGGAGGGTCCTGATTCTCGAGGTGACGGCAGTACGTGTGTTGCGACATCTTTAGTGTCCCTCCATAGGCAGTAAGGATTATAGAAACCGATCCAGATGGGTTGGGCCGAGTCAATGGGGTTCTATTCAAGAACAAGAACGCAGAATTGATGAAGGCATGTAGGGTGGCTCTTGGTAGGTCGTCAATGAGGCTCGGCAACGTGTATGCGATCCTGCTCCCGCGGCTTAGGTGATATCAACTTACACCATCTTAAGGATGCGGCCATGGAAATGCGGAAAGAGCAGAGCGACGAGGCCTTGGATTACTTCGTAGAGACAGCGGCTGAGGTGACCATTACTACTGGACAAGCAGAGGATACTAATTGTTGCTCATTAGGTGTTCAGCCTAGCTGAGGGTGGTATGCAGAAGGGAGCCCAGCTGTGTGCAGCAATGGTACTTCTATTACCGATCAAGGGTCTAAGAGATAGGCTCGTAGGGATTAGTGTACACTGCTATCATCATCAGCACTGGCTTCTGGCCAGGTTGAGCGTATGCAAGTGTATGGTGGTGATGCTATACTAGAATCCACTAGGTTGGAACACGAGCGACAGGCCCGGAGTATATCTCCACAACCCCGTAGCACGGCTAGTGTGACTAGCAGGGGCTCATCTCAGCCTCCTACAGTGAAAGTAAGGCATACCACTCTTTTGATACATCCTCGTATCGTGTAGACCAGATCATCTTGTAAGAGTGGTAGATGGTAGTTTGTATCAGTTACCTGATACTCCGGTTCCCATCCCTGATGGTCTACTTGCCGGCCCTCATAAACGACCAAGCTTCATTAAAGCACTGATGGCAGTGTTAGATGCTGATCTCGGCGAAGTGGACGAGGTCATACCTCCCAAACAATACACGTAGGCTACTCCTCCTCCTCCTCCTCATCATCGACGGCGTAGTATTTATCCGTTTAGTAAATTGGTGCAGAGTGTGCAGCAGATCGATGGTATACAGACGGATACTCTCGCAGAGATGAGGAATCAGTTGCTAGCTGTGGTTGGATCCAGAAAGGACCTATCCTGGGCCAATGCCGAAATGGTAGTAGCAAGGTCTTCGTCGTCGTCGTCATCGTCGGAGCTACTGAGGGCATCATCACTAACGTCAGGTTATTGGTCTGCGTCCCCTAGCATACCGTTTACTAACCCCTCGGCCCACTGTGCCGACGAGTAGTGATGAGGAGGTGGAAGAGGAATATGAGTATCGGGATCCTAGCCGTCGTAGGGAGGCAGAGGAGGCTGCTGCAGCATCAGCAGCTGAACTGCAGAAGGGCTGGGATGAGTTTGTACAGCAGGCAAGGAGGGTCCTCCATGAGCGATTCAACATGCTGGAACTCTGCTATATGTCTACGTAAGCATCCTACTCATCGTACTGCTGCTGAGCCCTGATGTATCCATGTTGATAGATACATTCATCTAGCGGCAGGTAGACTACAGAGTAGAGGTATTGAGAGGGGGGTCGATGATCGATACTCCTACCAGGAGTTCCCCCTATTACCTGGCACTAAGCCTATAGTTCGTACCACCTACAATGGACAGCAACCTCGGACCAAGGGAGGAGGAGGAGGAAACTACCCTACACTGGTAGTAGCAGTAGGGGCATCACCTCTTAGTCATCGACTCTATTATCAGTCCGCTGCCCATGCCATCACATCTAGTAGTTCATCATCATCATCTTCCAACACTAGACAGCAGGGTCTCTGGGCTACTCGGAATCCAGCCCGATTGGCGGATCCTGAGGCCTTCCCTGAGCTGCCTAAGATACAACCAAAGCCTAAGTAACATACATATTGGTATTACTGGTCATGCTCCATCACTGATAGGTCATCGCAATGGAACGCTGGTGGTAAGGCTAGGAAGGACATAGAAAGGATGAAAGGCCTCGAGAGAAGGTGGAGTTTTTGCATATATCTACAATACCTCTCACCGTCATAGGCAGATACCCTTTGCTCGTCCGACCTACCAAGAATGCACCCAAGCAGTCCCATGAGCCGGAGCTCCCAGGCTGGAAGTGTCCCCACTGTGAGCAGCATAACGAGCCTCAGAGCGACACTTGTAGCAAGTGTGGTCTTAAGCTGCTTGTAAAGAAGGGAGGACCTTCCGGGGGAGGTGGTGGTAGTGGGGGCAGCAAGGGAGGCAAGAGGAAGAAGGCTAATGCAGCTGATAAGGCCATGGGCAGATTCTGATGAAACAACTCTCGAGTCATAAGAACTTTACAAGTCTATGGAGGCCGCTAGTACGACCATTGACTTGCACAAGTGATGATAACTATCGTCATTATTGCTTTGTATCTTCTACCACTGTTATCATCATAGTTACTGTTGCTTATGATACTACTCTATCGTCGCGTTATACGTTATATTACGCACTGGGTTTCCTGGTCCATGTGGACGTACAGTGTTCAGTCAACACTAAACATGATGAGCTTGGATAGATACCCTAACTGGTGTATATTCAGTATATACAGGGTGTTAATTTCAATATGGCACGCCCGCTAGTATAGTAGTAAGTAAGGCTGTAGTAAGGCAGCAGCCTCACAGCCTCTACTGGGGCTCCCTAGTAGGGAACACTTGTAGCCCTTGCAGTACGATGTGGAGTACACTGTCGCAACGATAATGGATAAGCGCTACTCGGTCGATATTGATCTAGTCATCAGTTTGTCTTCTGGTTCCATAACCATCTTCATCATACCAACGATCAGTAACTCGTCTGATATGAACAGTGTTACTGCTGGGACAGCCGCTCTTACTTCGACGACAGCAGCAGCCTCGACTATTGGGGGAAGGTTGTGTAAAATAGTCCTTACCGGAGGGCCTGGTGGCGGCAAGTCTACGGCTCTCACCAAGCTCAGGAACCGACTCGTGCATAGAGGCTTGCAGGTGATGAGGCCAGGGATACTCCAGTGAAAGGATGTGGAGGGCAGGTAACGTTGATAGGAGAGAATGCCACACCCTTGATAGACAAGATGGGTGGCTATGAGCCCTCTTGGAGGCATACTTGGAAACATATTGAATTTCAAAGGATAATGCTGAAGTAGTAGGAGACAAACTATCCTATCTGAAGGTAGTTCGACATATCTAGGGCCCAGATAGAGCAGGAGGATAATATAACCTCTTTATGTCGTCTACGAGAGGATGATAGGGTTATCATACTTGACCGAGGTAGACGTAGTAGTAGTATCGCTAGGCCCGTAGGAATCCTCTTAGGTGCCTTTGATGGTAGGACATTTTGTACTGATGAGGAGTGGGAGAAAGTTCGGAACTCTAATAATATCTATACGGATAAGGAACTCTTCGATAGGTATGGATAGTACCAGTCCAGGATGGTGATGCTCATAGTCCATCTTAGATACGATGTTGTCATACACATGACATCAGCTGCAGTCGATCGTCCTCAGTTGTAAGCGTAGATCACATCCTCCTTGCCACAACACTAGAGCTTGTGCTTCTCGTTAGTTACTCTTATGGTGCTGGTAGCACGAATGAATCACGCTTTCACACACCCTCTCAGGTCAGTATACTTGCAGGGGGGCTATTAAAGAAAGGCTAGAGATTACTGTTTAGGCAGCAGAGGCAGATAAGCTCGGCAGGGATTTCGTCACCCACACTGGTCAGAATGTGTTTGTTGTGGATACTAAGGAAAACTTTGACGATAAAGTCGAGGAGGTCTATGCCATGATGAGGGCCTAATGTGACGGTCATATGCCAGTCAGGTCTTCCGCTGTGTACAAGGGGCCATCTCGAGGCTCTGGGGCCCAACTGTCGTGGAGGGGCTCAGTACTAAGAGGGTTCAGTAAGGACATGCCACTGCTAGATGATATCGTCATGTTTACTGCTATACTCCATCAGGCATAAGGTCCGAGTATTACGGTCATGGGAGGAGATATGCCAGCTCCCCGAGGTGACCTGTGGGAGCAAGGAGGCAGCTAAGGTGAGGCCTCGTGCAGTGGTTGCACAGTTATTATTATCATCCTTAGGCTGCTTATATCAGCGAGATCACTTATCTCAACAAGGATCAGACACGATGGGTGAGGAGATGGCGTAAGGTAGGTAATATATCAGAACTGGACAAGAAGACACCTGCAGAGCTCGTGAAGTAGGCAGAGCTCTTTGTAACAGCAGTGCTATCTAAATACCTATGAACTTTAGGGAGTTCCCCTCGTTAGAAGAGGAACGCCTCTTACCCCAAGGAGACTCCTCTGAGGACAGAAGCAAGATGGAGTCCTCTGAAGAGACAGTAGGCCTGGGTGAGGGACCGGCAACTAGGCAGACTACTCAGGTTATGATTGATAGTGGTGAGAGAGGCCCCAAGAGGATGGCCAACCTCAGTGTGGATGCGTAATGCTTACCCTAGTAGTCAGAGGTATAGTATGTAAGTCACTCAGGTACGAGCGTGCCATTAGAGAGTATGAGGCTGAGAAGGCCCGTCATGGGGGTGAGGACTTCCCCAAGCAGATACTCAAGAGACAGGTCTCGTATGAGACCAGGTATGAAGACAACAAGGTTGGGTACTAATAGCAACAGCAACAGCAGGAAGAAAAAGAGGAAAATTGTCGGACTATCGTAATCAGATACATCACATTGAAAGCGTACTCCGGCCTTGATGGTTCGCCATGCCCTGGCTATGAGAGTACTACTCCTTCTCCTTATCCTATTGACCCCAGCTATTATCTTTACTGTTAGACATATGGGTATTGGATATGGAGGATCCTGCCGTCCACAGTACTCAGGATACACTATCCCTCCTACCTAGCTTTGTGGAACCTGTACCAGAAGCCGTTATAAACAGCCCATCTCCGTCTCAGCATACTTCTTCTACGCCACCGACGACCATCATTAAGGTAGAGCCGTTTTTGTTGTGAATTTAACTCACGAATACCTAACCTCAGGATCCACCCCACCATCGTACCAGGAGGCGGGAGACCGATACAAGCCCGATTGCACCATTAGCTGTTCAGTCAGCGGGCATTAGCACTACGGCGAGATCTAAGTCTGGGCCATCCGTTACACGGAAAAGTGAGTTATAGAGATTCTCCTGCCGGTAGTAATGTGTATGATACTCAGGACGTTTACCCAAGTCTAAATTGGTGCTGTGTCATCATCCGACAGCTGACGCGGCTGCAGGAGTCAGTGAGCCCTCCAAGAACCACCCTGCTGGACATCCCTCTAAACGTAGCCGCGAGCAGGCTAGTGAGGCAGTGACCGGGTCGGAGGAGGTCGATGGGTTACGGTCTAAGATGCCCAAGTCCTCCACCGTCGAGGATGAGAAGGAGAACTCCTCGTCTAGCAATGTTAGTAGTGTTACGTGACTGTTCTCATGATGATGTTAACCTTACTGGAACTGCCAATATAGTAATTAATTCACTATCCTATTATCGTCCCCAATAACAGCTGCATCACCCGTGCTGTCACCATTGCCCATCACCGTCTCTCTACTGCACATCTCAGCATTGTGCCTGCCTTTCATCAGTATCCTATGAATAACTTTCGTCTTGAGTAGCCTATCACCACCGTGTACCCTCTCTCTAGCAGAAGTATCTGCGTGTTTGTGGTCTCCAGTCTATCCAAGATTCCGTGTTAGTGCATATGGTCTCACTCTTGTATCTGTTGTAGATGTAAGCAATTGAGGCTATGGCCACTTCACCAGCCGTAAGAACCCCAGGAGAACTCGATGATGTGGATATTATTGCACCAAGCTGATGATGAGCTACTTTAGCATATCGTGGAAACACATGTCATTTGGCGTCCTTGTTGCCCTCGTCTATGTTGTTAGGTATTTGAAAGGAACAGAGAGCGAGAAGAGCGAGCACGGTTTGAGAACAGTGGCGCTTATCGGCGGTGTCAGCGTATTCAATGGACAGAGCTGGTCTCCAAAAACTACAGTATGGAATGATGAGTTTCATTGATATGTTCATGTTTGAAAAACTGTATTTATTGTTCTGAGTATTCTCGATTGTTGCGCACTCGTGGACGTACGTGGTTGTAGTGATTGCAGCGTTGACTGGTACTTAAATCGATGTCCAAATAGTGATAACTCAATACTTCAAAGAGCTAAGTAGATGACTACTTCCAGAAGGGAAGGATGGCTTTACCGTAAACTTGCTATCCGCTTATCGCTTCATTAGCCTCTTACGATAACGATAAGGAAATAGCCTACGCCACGACAGCGCAACTCAGCCCATTCATATCATAGCAAATGATGAATAGCGTGTAGTTTATTCAGCGCAGTGTATGCCACTATGAGCGTGGCATAGGCAACGTGTCAAAACTACTCTCACCAACACAGTGTTGGCAACACAACCTCAGTCCCATCAGGGACGTGTTCAGGAACATCATCCAGCTAGAGCCGGATATCTAATGGACTGTGTTCAGCATACTTAGAACGACATTACGTGGAGCTTGAACGCGCATTGTAAGAGAGTCTACATCAGAGCCACTTCTATCATGGACGGTATTACAGTGACTGTAACAGTCCAGTCTATGCCAAAATTATCTGCTTGACCTCGCAGCTTCTCTAGGAGGCTCAATGCTTCGGCAGAGAACACTCCAAATGGTGCTACTGTGTGGGTCACTGGCGTCCACAGGTAGACAGCGAGCAGCCACTACACCAGGATGCAGCGTCTGATGCTACAGTAACGGCCAGTTACATTGCTGGCAACACTACAGACCTCGAAAGTATGGAGAACAGCGGCCACGCGCGATGGTGCCCGCATCTGGGGCGTGCGCGATTCGTTGGAAAATCCGTTTCGGGCAATATGCAATAACGGCGCTCTTTGTTCTGAAGGCACTCTCAAATTAAACCTCTTTATCAATCCTGCTTGCACAGTGTTGTTGAACACCTCAATGTTCAACCTCTTCTGCCGTTCATACCATGGGATCCAGCGTGGGCTGCGGCGAGCTACTACGGACAGTTCGGGGTCGCCTACTGAGTCCTCGGAGATCAACACCCCGGTAGCCGCTGCTGCTGCGAGACCACCGGACCGGTTCGTGCAGAATGGTCAGCCGAGTAAGTTGGCGTCAACGATGGTCTTCGATCACTGCGGCTTGCCCCTCAGACTTCCTGCCCATTTACGATGTAACCCGCTATGCTGAGCTACTCCCTGAGTTCAATTCCTCACTTTTCTCGGATGCCTCTGAAGGCGTTGAGAGGGCATTTATGCTGCGCTACACTCAGAAGCTGTAGGCAGGACTGTCTGACTGCTATTCTGCTCTTCATCCAAGTTTACCTAGGGTATCCTTGGTCCACTCGGCTAAGACCAGTGATGAGCAGCTGGCGAACAATCCGTTCGAATGCAGGTTTGCAGTAACTAAGGCCGAAGTTGCCGGTATGCTGTCTGCGACTTGTCGTTTTGGCTTATTGCTATGGTTTCAGGCAATCCTCGAGTACCGCCCTTCCACAGTGATGCGGCATTCGTTTTAAAGATGACTCAACGGTGCTGCTTCTCTGTCGCCACCGTTGTAGCCGGTCTGGACTATTTCATCCGCTTGATTGACAAGGGTTTGGTAGTCCTGCCTTAGTATAGTGTATTGGTTATATTATGTTGGTGGATACAGGTCCATTTGCACCACACCTCATGGAGATCTTTATGGGTTTGCTGCATGCTGCTGGCTGAGAAGATGTGGGAGGATAACTTCGTACATCCGGTGGGAGTATTAATAGTTACCATGTCCATGTCGACTCCTATGTGTAAGGTTCATATTATGGGACAGTACAGCTCAAATGCGCACACCAGAAGTGAGTATCTCCGACTTCAGATGGGTATTCTTAAGGTCCTCAATTGGGATATGAATATCACTCTGAAGCGGTGAGTCGAACGTATTGATTAGAATGAACTGACCCATCGCGACAGGTTCACCGATTTGGTAGCAAACATCATGGCCCACCCGGTGTCTCCGGAGGTATTGAGTGCAGTCCCTCGACACCCTGGCAAGCTCTTCATCCTGAGGTGAGGTCGCTGACCTATTCGAATAAGCTCGAGTCACTCACTGCGCTCAGACCCCTTCCGAAAGTGCCCAAGATGAACTTCAATCTCTCTTCCCGGCTACGACTAAAGAATACGAGGTTGCTCTCGAGACATGGTGGCAGACTTGATGTTCGCCACCATCTGCATGCCGCCGCCGTCTCAAGCGACTCTTCTGGCGGCGCCGCTTCTACAGTCGCGGAAAGCCACCGACCAGATGTCTACAACGAGATCAAGGAGGTTGAAGTAGGTTACTGTTAAGTTAGGGCTGCTCTCACTGTTGAGGCCCGCCGTTGCAGGATTCGATGGACATCACATCCTTCGGCCAACCTCGCTCTAGACCAGCTGTTGGGTAGGCTGCTCTACAGCTCGCCTTCGATTCCTGATGTTTGCTCCAGGGATCCCTCGCTCATGCCGTCCCGGCGTCCTCTGTCCAGTCGAGGGAATGGGCGTTTTGGTGAAGGCTCGTTGTACAGGTTAGATGTTGGTCTACCACCACGACAGCCCACCCATAGTCACCGACATCCGCGCAGAGAGGTTCCGGATGATCGGCAACTCTAAGTCATTGATGTCCATATCATCGGGCAGTTGCACCCTCATGGGAATTGCTCGAACGGTGGACAATTTCAATTTTATTCCTCGTGTAAGCGAGTACTACGTTATACACTGGTGACCTTATCACGGCCGATTCTCTCGATCGGTCCGACATATAATTTGTTCATTGGAAGGTAAGCGATTATCATCTTATTCGTTCATCTGCCTAAACAGTGGATTATTGCTCTACAATTCGGGTGATGTTCGAATGCTGCTCATTTGAGATTATCAGTTGTCATGACACTTCGATGTATTACGACTTACTGCGTGACCTACGCTTGTTGAATTTGTCAATTTACTAAGGTTGACTCCGATGGTTCATAGCCCATCCCCGATTGGTAAATCTCTGTAGCCGCAGTTGAGACGAGTACTCTACTACACAGGTCAACTTCTGAGCTCAGTACATGCCATCCGGCTGTAGGTCGGCCTGAGTATCATAGCCACCTGCGATGTGGCGGATCGTAAACCTTATAGTTTATTAAGGGGGTCGGGACATCACTCAGAAAAGATGTAGGTCATTCCGAATGCAGTGGGAGTTCAACATGGGCGGGCAGATGTATATCCTGTATGCGTTGAGCGACCGAGGATTTCACCCCCATAGTAACCAATCTTGGGAGTATGTCGGAGGACACTGTTATCGGGCGGAGCTACAGAAAGGGCAGCAGCAAGGTCGGAATCATCGTGCCACCACCTCGTCACAGACTAGATGTAGATGATATGAGAACATCGTCTTCGCTCGCGCGTTTCACTTAGAGGAAATGAAGAACGCCTGACTGGTTGCTAGACATTCCGGTACACGAATGTTGGTGCATTCCGTTGTGTGTCTATCGGAATCGGATATAGAGATGGAAGACGTCCGGCAGAGGAGATCCTGGAGGGGTCGTAGTCAGAGTTCTTGGGTGGATCGTGGTTATTTGTCGCCAACTTCATCGAAGTGTGATTCAATCTTGTCCTTTTCGCTACGTCGCCTGAACAGACTATACCCGGTTATTAGGTATTGGCCTTCATTCGCTATGATGGGTACCATTATAAGGTCGAAGAGACCGACGATTCTTAGTGAGTTAGAAGCACTCTATCTCGCTCCTGTATGAGTATGTAGCCATGCATGACATGAGCATGCAGCTTCGGTATCTCACATCAACTTTGCTCTATTGGTCTCCGTGTATCCGTCCACGCGACCAGTTGTGGCTGCCGGGAAGCGGGGTTCAATGGTGCCATGACTCCACACTGTATGATACGAATGAAGCAGGGAGGAGGTTAATTGCAAGGGCGGTCGAGCTAGGAAGAACGGATAAATGTATGATTAAGCTGCATACATATAGCAATGTACACGTGTGTACAGTCGGCGGGCTTGTCATCATGTGTCGAGTATTCTCTCGTTTGGTGCAAGAGAGAGACACTGCCGTACCCCAACATGGCTCCCTGGGCATCTGGAAGCTGTACAGGTAGCCTACCTGAGGTAGGTGAACAAGTTATCGACGGCTGATTTACCTTTCGTGAGTCACACGCCTCAGAATGAACCTGCAATGCTCGGTTACAGTGGTCGGGTGAGATAAATAAGAAGAGCTACATTAGGAAATGTATCCTCTATGGGTCGTCTCGAATGATACCGTTGGGTACAAAGCTTGGGTATTGAGCATCGACATCGGGCCCGTCTCAGAGAGATGTTTGGTCATGCAGTGGGCTCGTAATCCGGGCTACGACAAGGCGCTGCTCGCTGAGGGTCACTCATGATAATCGTCATGGAAGCTTATCAGTTGATTCACACAGCTTATGTTGTTAATGATGGGTGTGATACTCACCTTCTGACTTCGCTTCTGTCAGCGCTACTCGCCATCCGACCAACCGTTGCTGTGCTTCGACCATCTTCCTATAAACCCGTTGAACATCTTATGACTCAATTCCCAACGACGGGAATCATTCATGACAGCAATAGGATTCGTCAGCGTGGGCAATCGAGCACTCATAGTCGCGTCTTCAAACACTGCTGAATCTTACAGGTGTGAGCGGCGAAGATTCTGATGATCAAATGCTATTGAGGAAGCAAGTTACCATAACCAAGAAAGGTCAAAAGGGTGCCTTCGCTTGGCTGAGTACCAGGCCTTGGCGAAATCGTGAAGACTTCGAGCGTTTCGTCAGTAAGAGTGAGCCAGTGATGATGCGACCACGATGCTTCTGCTGCCAGGCTCTGGCATCGACATTTTCAAGGGCTGGTTCATTACTTTCATGCTGGTTGAACATACCAGATCATCCTTTCATGTTGGTATGGATATGACCCATTGGCCCGTCATGCACATCTTCTCTAAAGTCATGAGGGTCAACACCCTTTCCCCTTCACCTGTTGGCTCTTAGGCGGCTTGCTCCCTCGATATGACCTGCTTCTCTACAGCTTATGGTTTTATGTGTTATAGAAGCTACTTAGTGAATACCAAGAATAGGCCGCTCTCCACTACCCTTACCAGAGTCTTCCGGTACCTCCATCTCCCTTCACCTAAACTTGGTCATGTGCCTATTGCAGATCGGTCGGCCTCGTCTTTCTGGCTTTAATATTCATGAACATTACATTCAGCTTATCGGTGGCGGACCACATGCCTGCTATGAGGGAGATTATCGAGCTTATAACGGTGCTGCAACACACTGTGTCTGGATCTCATGCATATCGTTTCCTGTTCAGCTCTCTACTGTATACTGGGATTTCCTGGCCGCCTTCCCCCTGGAGCTCCTCATGGGATTCCTCTCTACTAAGCCCATCATTGCCTTCTCTATGTGAGACTCACACCTTCGAGCTGTCATCAGAATGCCAACTTTCAGGCGGTATCGTCACCAGAGGCCTCTAGCGCGTCTGGTACTGTTTGCATTCCTTCTTGGTTGGCCACTTGTCCTCAGCACTTACCACTTGACTCACTGTGATACCATCGGAGAAAGGTAAGACTATGGGATGATGTCCTCTAGCCGAGTTGTATGGTCAACAGGTATTTGGGCCTCTTCGTGGGCTGTCGTCCCTTGAAATTCCGAGCCACCAGATTTCCAGCCATACCGTATATGTTCTACTTCAATTTCGGCTGCATCGTCAGCCAGTTACTATTAGAATACTCGGGAGGCCTCCCTCGAGGTGAGGAGAGCGTTTGTGTACATGTATTAATGGCCTTTCATCTGGCAGCATCGGACATATCCCGCCGTTCGCATCTCCCGAGCTCCCAAGCTCTTGATGACCTGAGTGAAGTCTCTACTCCATCCCAAGTCGACAATGAAAGCGGCCTTCCGTCGCCCGCCACTTCTGGCACCCACCGTCAAGACAACTTCCCACCATACCTAGCTGCTTTTGCCCTGCTATTGCTAGTAACGGCGCCATTGCTATCACCATGTAAAGCATGGCCTTCTCATTATTCATAGGTGGAGCTGGCTTTTCTAACACCTCTCGCCAAGAATCCTCAAGTTGACTGGGAATATCTCGACTGGAATGGCTACGTCAGGTTTCCTATGTGAGTGGTATCACTGTGGACAGGGGGAACTATCACAAACGTGTTCAGGAACTACAAAGTTATTCTGGCGTGGGGAGTTCTCTCCCATTCCGTGCTCATAATCTCTATGTTTATCGCTGCCTTCATGAAGGACATTCCAACGGTAACAATGAACAGGATTCTGAATCCGCTCCACATTCATCTACAGGTCTCCCATGTTATCGACTTCCTCGAGCATTGTGGAGCCAATGTCCTTCTATATCTCGTCATCAATTCCTTCATCATACACGTAATAAACCAACATCTAGCAGTGAATGGAAGTCCTTCATATCTAGGGTATGTTCCATAATCACTGGGTCGCAAGTGGTAGGGCAGAGGATGAAGGTGACTCCCCCACTCTGGGTAAAGTGATCATCTTGGTACTTTCTAGATGCGCCACAGTCGTCGTCGTATTCTAATTTCACCTGGGAGATAATTGTGTTAGCCTATGCAGCTGGTGGGTCGCAGGTTGGATAGAATGCTCTGTTATCCTTTGAATCCAGGTACAATGGCGGCAACCAAGTTCATTCATTATCTAGCGAGGACCGGCAGGAAGTAGACATGCGCACAATATTTCGAGAAGAAGTTTATTCAATCTAAAGGCTTTGTATGAACGTTGTGCTCATCATCGACTCATTTATAGTAAAGACATTATGACTTAGATCTGCGACTTGCGTACTAGATCGGCGACCAAAGCCATCGGCATTTGCACTACATAGTGAGGAAGTCTCAATTATACGCGCAGCGTAAGACCTACATCACAATTTCTAGAAGAACACGCATTTCTTTTTCCCGAGCTATTTTCTACTCGGTAACAGATTAACGCCACGCCCCTCTTTGCAACTCCACAGATAGCATTGACCACTACCAACTAATCTCAGTAATTCAACTCTTCCTCGAAACAATGTTTCGTGTCAAGACTGAGTGAATACACTGTTAGGAACGTAAATAATGGTTATGACTATTCTAGTTACTACTGTTGTTGGAATATCGCGAAGCGAAGAAAAACCTGCTACGTATCGCTGGTGAAAAGGTCGAAAAATAATGAATATATTATGATCGACTAGTAACGGCTGCAACTGCCGTTACACGTCTAGTTGCGATGCTGCATCATAGCGTTCCTTCCAATCTGAACAGCCGCTTGGTTAAGCTTAGTAAGCTGACGGCATGGATGCATAAATTCGCTCATGGCGAAGGCGATGAGAAGATCCTGAAAATAATGGTCAGAAAAGAACTGCTACTATTGAGTGCTTACATGCCCGGGGTTGCCTTCAAGATCAGTGGTCTTAACGATAACCTCATCAGCACCATCATTCTGCTTGTATTCCACATTGAACATGTTATCCACCTTCCACGTGCGATCCCAGTGCTCCCAGTTACCCTTCTCAACAGTCACGTCATAGTCTTTGCCATCGATAGACTAATATCATAATATAAACACACATGGTCGGGAAGCTTTCATCTTACCAGAGTGTAGCAGACGTTCTTAACCTTAGCAGTAGCATCCCAATCCTCATCGCTTTCCTTATCCTTCTCCTCGTCAACTTCAACCTCACACTTCGATATGCCCTTCATTTGCAAGCCGACAGTAGCGAACTCACGACCGTCCTCGTCGGAGAACTTGGCAGAACGCTTGATCTTCCAACGGAGCTTAACCTTGAGCTCACTTTCGTCGAAATCGAACATGGAGTCCTTTGACTCATCACTGAAGGGGTAGCCACGTATGATACAAACGGTTCAAGAATAAAGCACATTACCTCTTGGAGTCGTCGGAGCCGTCCCAATCCACATCCTTCGCACAGACGACGTTTTCTATACCAATTTCGCACTTACCCAGCACCTAGAGAAAAACCAATAAAGAACTACGGACAGAACACTGTATAGTACGTGTTCACGCTCCTTGTTAACAAGGGAGAAGTTGGGAGTAGGATCACTGAAGTCGCTATCCGACTTGATCAAAAGCCATTGTTCATCGTTCTCATTGAAAACTTCGAAGTTTCTGGAATCAGGGCTAGCCTGTGACTTCTTAATCTGATCATGATTGTAATGAGCACTTACGTTGAGGGAATACGGTGGAGCATACTACCTTGAAAGTGTGAGGCTTGCCAACCTCAGGATCATCAAGACCGGGAAGAGAGGAGAAACAGCCACCCATATATAAATAATAGAATGTAAAATGGAACTAACTACTTCCACGACATTTGTGCTCTTCCGAAAATACATATAAATGACCACGATCGTCATCAGTCTCTCCAACCGTTAGCAAGACCACTGGTCACACTCGATGAAGGACAAACTTGAAGGAAACGAAGCTAAACAGATGGACTGCTAGGGCAGCAGCCTCTAACACAATGACTGTCCCTCCTGCTCGGTCGGCCCCGACTGAGGCTCCGACGAAAATACATGGCTAATACCGAACCTTCTCATTCGACTGAGGAAGGTTTATTAAACTTACCCATCCGCCTCCACCGAGTGGCTGGGGTTTGCCCGTATTGTCGATTTTCGTTCCTTCGCCCCTCTATCCGTGTTTCCACTGATCGAGAAGATGTTGTGCTGTTCCAACTTAGAACTGCGCGGAGATTTTAGCGCGCGCCCGAAAAGTCAGACTTGGGCGATCGGTGCGATTCGCCGTGTGTTACGCTCAGCAGCATCTGACTAGGTAAAGTAGTAATACTCGCTCTGCTTGGCTCGATGGCCTTTCTGGTTTAAGGTTGCTGGTCGGTGGAGAGGAAGCTGCAGAGCCTCTGAGGCGGATCAAGCCGCCACCTACGCTTGAGTAGGGTGGACTTCGTAGTACATGGCTGTCTGCCTCCGTCGATGATGGGAGGAGGGAGCCTTATATGTTAGTCATAACGATATGTGGAGGCTGCCGCCCAAGGAGACAGGACTGTATCTACTCTACAGGCGTTAGCGTTGGATATGGCAATACATGAGGCTGTGGAGGGAGGGCTGATGGGATTATTTTACTCTTACTGGTTAGTTAAGTGAATTGTCAAATGATGGTTCGAGCAGTTTGTAAGTTCCAATTCTGTGTTAAGGGCGGAGGTGATGACCTGCTGCTGCTATGTAATAGGCGTTATGTTGGTCGTGATGTAGGTGATCAAGGCCGAAATACTATGATATATATAACTTTATCGTCTGGAGAATCTCTGAGGGGTTAGAAAGCATCAGAGGCGTTAGAGGACGTTTAAGAGGGAACTACCAGAGATGAGATGGGTGCAGAGGAGCATTTGTAAGAGCGCTTGTGATGGCAAGTTGGACTCCCGATTAGAAGCGTCTAGGTCTTGTCGGAAACGGAAATTGATAACATCGAGGTTTCCAACGTTTATTGTTGTCGATGTTGATGCCAACCTAGGCGCCAACCTCATGCACGCACTGATCGCTGTAGTGATCGGAGTACCATCAGCGATGACTATTAATATACCTGGCATGGTATCAAGAACAGGTTCTCTCTCTAATGCGGATCTATCCAGCTGACGTACCTTGATGATGGCATATAGGTTGTACTGAGTTGGGAAGTATCACCATAATCGTAGCAGATTGCTGGGGAGTCAGGGAGAAAACATGCGACATGGTCAGGACCGAGATATGGTATGTCTTCAGTATCTTTCGTGCTCTTCATGATCTCTAGATAATATCGGGCGTGATAAATCATTCATCATGACTTCTCCATTCGTCATGTATGTGGGGAGTCCAGTGCAGCTAGCCCTTAACCGTTCATGTTTCTTATCAAGTTCACTTCTGCGTTATGGGATGGCCTCGTTTATGGAGTTTGCTCTCTCAGCCATTACTTGTGTATGCCTCGGAGTAGGCCTGGGGCCATAAGAAGATGCCATCGAGTGTTTATGTACCTGACTAGCCTTCTGACAGTAAAAGCGATAACCCTCTCTTCCAACAAGGCCGTGACAAGTGGAGACGGAGGCAGGGGAGGAGGTGGCGATGATATGTAATAAGCTGGAGTCATTCGCAGTCTCCGGTTGACACCTCCTATCCCTCTAGGGCCGTCCTTGCTGATCTCGTCAACACAGTATCTAACAGTCAGCTGTCCCTAAGTGTTCAACCAACCGATACAGACTCTAATGCCTCAAGCCCGACTACTGACTCCGGGACAGTATTAATGACTGCTGAACAGTTGGCGAAGAATGGGTGAGTCCAGCTACTATGCTTGTTGTTGTTGATATGTTATGAGTGTTCTTAGGAATAGTATGGCGGCACGGTTGGATACCATTGAGACATCAATAAGGAGTCAACTACATGGTGTGCAGAGGATAGAGACTGGCCATTGGGACGAGGTGCCGATTGGACTCACTTCATTACAGCCGCTTATTTGGCTCTCTTTCTAGCTTAACCGGACCCATTACAATATACAGTCGACGCGAATACAGCAGGAGAACAATGAGAAGAGCCGACAAGCATGCTTGGTGAGCCGTATGGTGAGGACAAACGACAGAGTGGACCACTGGGTAGGTGTCCAATAACGAGGCCTCGGTAGAGCTCAACAATTTACTACGGGATATGATATCAGGAGCAGAGCAGGTTAATGATGATGTGGTGAGTGATGATGATGATGACAGGGTTGGGGAATCATCACTGTACTGTCATAGGCTACTGCCAACAAAGTAAAGAGAAGGATGGAACTTGACTTGGTAATAACAATACCACGGCAGACATTAGCGTTACATGCTTTATGGTTATATCTTTCTCAGTCTAAATTCAACGATAGGATAAGCAGTCTTGATGCATGGCTGTTGAATATGGATAAGTGGACCAAGTTCGTATTAGACCAGACCGGCAACCGTAAGTGGGGGCAAGTCTAACAGGATATGCACAGTGCCTCCCTGATCAGTTGACCGGGCTCAAGCTCGACTGCTCAGATGGGGAGATGAAACTAGATCGACGCTTAATACACACGAGGTGGGAGGCTTCAATAAACCCGGTTCATCTTGATACGGTCTATTTCAGATTGGTGTGGTAAAGTTAGGGCGGGAAATGTTCAATCTCGAGACATCAATTCTCACACTACAGGAGACGATAATGTCTGCGGCAGGGAGTGTTGGATGTGAGCCTTGTTGTGTCTTACCTTCCTTGCTGTACCAGCATAGCAATATGTATAGATAAACCAATGCTATTGACGATACCAGAGGCTGGTGGAGGCAACGACTGGCTCTATACGCCCTTCACCTAATTATGGTGCTCGTCGTCGTCTTATCAGCCGAAGCTGGAAGTGATCATAGTTGTAGTCGTAGTGCATGGTGCTTTAATAAGTTAGTGCCTTACCAAGGGGATCTTGTGTGTGTGGTACTCAGGCATTGTGTTGTGATCAATACTCAACTAGAGCAGTTACTAGTAACCTATCATCAGTATTCCATTGTGTAGTGAATGTATATATTGTATGAGTATCCATTCCCAACGCTCAACGTTGTAGGCTATGTTGTATGAGGAGAGGAGAGATGTACCGCCAGATGAGCGCCACTCCCCCTTAGCCCATAGCGGTCGAACTTGTCGTGTCGGGTTTCAGTGATTCGGCGAGGTATGTACTTTGGTAGCAAGGAGTTAGACTGCAAACGTGACAGAGGAGGAGGGCGTGGAGAGGGGACCACTAGAAGAGAGCGCGTCGGCATTTGGTAGGCGGATATCTCCTTTATCAGGCCCGGGTGAGTGGGCCCTCGATGGAACGGTTGGGGGGGCCTTGCATAGCGTCCCATTCCGACACATCGAATCATCGTCGTAGACCACTATCATTTGTCACAGCGCAACGGATTGACATTTGACGATGTACGTTGGGTATCGCACGGACTATTGTGGTGTCCACTGCTGAATCAACGCAGAAGTTGAGGGAGCATGTCTGGTGGGAGCTCAGAGATTCAGAGTAAAGCTGTGGGTCCTGATCAGCGCTTCATTGTAACCACTAGCTGTTATTATGCTCGAGTGCGAGCGACTGGTCGTGCTGTCACCCCTCCACCTCCTCGTCCTCGCTATCCTCCATATGCATCCTTCCTAGCATTGTCAATGTTCCGGTTACTGCGGTTCTGGTCACTGGTCATAAGTCAGACACTCATGCATTGACTGGTGTATTCTTGAGAGCATGTAGACTGGTCCAGACTATAGGTGCATGTCGATTACAACGCATCGTCCCTCCTTTTCCTCAGAGAGGTATAAGTTAGATATGGCAGTAAGTGTAGCACGGAGTCTGCACGCTCTATTGAGCAGACTTGAGAACGGCTATAATATCCCCTTGCATAGGCGAGCAAGAATTCTTCGCACGAAGTGCTTTTTAACCCCATCATCGCCACTCCCGTCACTGCGTCCTTATAGATGCCTACTCAATGGTAGTCCGAGTGAGTAATGGACCCTGTCTAGTCATCTATTAGCTCTTCTACCCCATCACTTGAATGCTGCACTATACCGTTGATGGGCTCAATCAGGGAGCTGCCTTGAGAGGCTCCCGGCTTCAAAACGGAAGAAGTAGTGTAGAGCGAGGAATGATATCAATACATGATAAAAGTGTCCATGGAGTTTCTGTGATGTAGAGTTTGTATCATCGATGGTGTTGAAGGGAGGCTATTGTTGATGCTCTATACCTTTCAGAAATCTTTTTGGCGGATTAGGCTACCGATTAAGCGGATAAGGAGGTCACCTTCGCGGATAGGGACATCAATTTAGCGATGAGAGTCGAATAGGGAAATCAATTTCGCGAATAAAGACATCAATTTCATGATTAAGGAATGCAATTTCACAAACAAGGACATCGATTTCGGGTTAGAGTTCCATCTACACAGAAGATTCTTCGTGCTGCTAGAATTGAGTGATGATGTGTAAATGAATCCTTCACGCTGCGCAGAAACATCCTCCCCGAAATTATTTCTGAGAAGATGTAGTCCATGCGGAAGCCGGGCCTGAAGGACCTGGCGCACAATGACGCCTCCTTCGAGGTTCATGAGAGGAATAAGCACGAGACAGAAACGCTT